TTTTCGTGGCCGGCAACGGATTGCAACCCTCAGTGTCGCGCCCGTACCGGACCGGGACCGGCAACGGGATCGCAACCCTCGGCACTGCCCCCACACCTCGCTCAGCCAGTGAGCGGCCGGTCTGTATGTGGGATCCGAACCCTCGGCGGGAGCGCCACCGCACTTCCCAAGTGGTGCACTATAGCAATGCGCCACCGGGCCGGCCCGCCTTTACCGGTCATCTTTAAAAAAAAGTAAAAGCCCCCTCCTTCAAAAAATTCCTCGTCACAGGGTCTGCTTCTCGGGGAGCAGGGCGCTGGGGAGGGGGGCAAACTGAGTCATGCTCCTTTGTAATAATTTAGACATTGGCCATTCTAATTTAGTTATCGCTGCTGGTGGGTATGAATCCCATACTTAGAGCCTGATTAGCCTCGGGTGAGCTTTGTATAATGTTTCAAAATTTGTGATTCTGGGGCCTGCCCCTGGACGGTAAGTCCCAGCCCGTGCACTCCCTCTGGAAGGCGCTGCCTGAGAGGACACCAGCTGGGCTGTGGGCCTGTGTGTAATTGCGAGAATGGCTGGTATTCAGAGTGCTTCCACATGCCAGGCACTGCACTGGGCACCAGTTATCCCCCAACTCGTGCAGTCCTCGCAGCAACCCTAATGGCATGGGCTCTTTTGCTTCTGCCATTTTGCAGACAAGGATTGAGGCTGGGGGCAGGGGCAGTATCTTGCCTGTGGTTCCCAGCCAGGCTACTCAGGGGTGAACAGTGAGCAAGAATTAGACCTCAACCCTGAGGGCCCAGGGTCCGTGCCTGTGCCCCTCTACTCCTCTGCATGAGTGTCTGTCTTGTTTCGGTACCTCCAGGGGCACCAGGGGGAGCCCGGTGAGTAGTAAAGATGTGACAATGCCCAGAAAGCTCAGTTCTCCCACCCAGACTGCTGAGCACACGTGACTCCAACACCACGACTCCTGGCCTTCAAACACCAGGTGCACCACCAAATCATGGGTTTCATGTTGCTGCCCATACTTAAAAGTTTGGAGTGTTTCATTTAATCAAGGCTTCTATCTTTCGTTTCATGTGCTCTAGTTTTAAAAAGCACCTCAGCATCCCTTTTGCCATCTAGAGCCCTATTATCTGACCCCAGGATGACTGTGCAGACTTTGAAACAGACTTTCTGCCTTCTCTCCTTTCTCCTCTCAACAGGAGGGCAGAAGAGTATGAGCTTGGGTAGCAGTGGCATAAATTTAAAATCTAGACACACAACAGAAGACTTAGGATGACCTTTCTGACCTTCTGCCATGGTTATGACCTTTTAACCTCTCTTCTCCCAAACATTCAAAATCATGATCATTCACTAGGCTACTACTATCTGCAAAACACTGTGCTAGGCATTGTGGGACAGACCCTAGCAGGGAAATCCACACGTACACAAATAAAAAGACCACTAACTCCTAAGCTACTAGGTGGCAAAGACAGGATCTCACAGGTCTGTATTTGGCAGGGTTCCCGGTACTCAGTAAGTGTTTGTGGAATGAGTGAATGGTGTCACCAAACGTTTACTGAAATCGAGCATTCCAACAAAGACTTCTTGAGCACCAGCAATGTACTGTACTACGCACTAGGGATTCAGCAGAGCACAAAACAGACAAGTTCTTGCCCTCATGGAGCTTACAGGGGGAGGGAGGCAGGGTGCTGGACCATAATCAGGAGAAGAGAAACATAAGGAATTCCAGTCTGTGACATGTGAAAAGAGGGAAAGCAAAGGAACAGGAAGTGAGTCGGGGAGGGCTGCTCTGGAGAGAAGGGCAGAGAAGGCCTCTTAGGATAAAAAAGCCAGCAGGTGCAGAGGTGGGGAAAGAACAGCGAGTGCAAGTGCCCCGAGGCAGAAATGCCCTTGGTTGTAAGAACAACAGAAAGGAGCCCACTGCAACTGGAGCACAGGGTAGGGCGAAGGATGGAGGATGATCCAGGAGTCGGATCACGGGGGGCCCAGTAGGCTACGGTGAGTAGTTTGATTTTACCCTGAGAGGGACAGGACCTCCTGGAGGGCTTTGAGCAAGGAAGTGATTTGATTTTTTTATTTTTAAAGTCATGTTATTTTTATAAGGTAAAGGTCATTGGCTGCAGTTTGGAGGATTAACTGTAGAGGGGCCAGACAGAGTGGATATAAGGAGATGACAATGGAGGCTACAGCATTAGTCCAGGCGAGGGACGGTGGTGGCTTGGCTGCAGCTGTGGCATGGGAGATGGTCAGAAACGATCAAATTTAGGATGCGTTTTGGAGGCAGAACCCCTGGGGACTGCTGATGGTTTGAACGAAGGAATGAGGTAACAGTAGCTAAGGGCAGTAAAAGAGAAGTGCCAGGTGAACAGAAGAGTTCTATAGATGCTGGAATGAGGAAGAAACACATGGCCTGGAGGTGTCCAAGAAGCCTTCACTGAGAAGGGGCTGCCAGGGCGGGGTCTTGCAGCCCAGTTTTCATACAGGTGAAAGGAAGAGGCATGAGCAAGGGGCCTGTGGCAGGAAGATGTCCTGTTTAGAGACGAGGGTGTTACCAGCCTGATGAGGTTCATGGGATATGGGGCTGTTAATAGTGGCTGGAGACAGACTATGGAAGCTGTGCACAATCAGGGCTAGATTTCAACTCTCTTTATGTAATAGGGCTCCATGCAAGATCTGAGTGCCTCTGAAAGCCTTTTCTTGCCAGCATCTCTTGCCATAAGGCTGGCCAGTGTAAAGCACAGAGGCCCACCACGCCAAGGCTCTCTGTGGGAAAATGCAGTGTGGCCAAGTCCTTGTTCAGGGGTGGTGGTGCCACATATCTAGCACCCACAGGAGTGAGGCCAAGAGCAGAGGGGTCCAGTCCACAGTGCCCACAACTGGAATTCATGACCTGCTTTGCATGGTGGGAGCCCTGCTACCCCTGGGTCCTGGGTTTCTGTTGAAGCAGTGTGTGGTGTGAACGCTGATGACATGATTCCCCACTTGAGTCAGAAACAGATGCAGTTTTCTCCTTTCTCTGCTCAAAAAAACATATGTCCTTCTAATTGCCCAAGGGGAGAGTCAGGTGCCTGGGGAAAAAGCATTATCGACCTCTTTGAGTGGGAGGGTGGAGGCAGGCAGAGTTGAATCCATTCATTCATTCATTTGAGACCATGTCTTATGTGCCAGTTACTAGATTGTTGACAGAATAAATAAGACAGAACTGTTGTCTGAAAGGCCCTCACAATTTAATGGAGGACCCAGATCTGTAAACAGGGTGACAGGTACTGGGCAAGCAGTCTGCCCAGTCAGGCTGCAGCAGAAATGAGGGTCACAGACAACAGATGACAGCAATGCCCTCACAACACAGCACCCCAGGAAGCCACATACCTGTTTGCTTTCCTGATTTTTGCTTCTCTCTCTGTCTTCGGGTGATGCTCTCTCTTAGCCGTTTAAGATTTTCCTGGAAAAAATTAGTTTATTTTTTAAGTGTACAAAAGGATTATGCCCTCTGGACATTAGAGTTTCTTTCTGATTTTATGCTGTTTGCAAGATTCATCACATTGCAATAATATTTTCAGCCTGCAAATGAGGCTCAGTGAATTTGCAGTTAGCCCCAGACAAATCCAAGCACTCAAATTGTGCCTGAAGAGAAGACACCTTTTCACAATAAAGTGTCTTCCTCCCTTCTGGTTCCCAGCTCCATTCTCAGCCTTATGACCCACTGCCCTCCTCCACATATGCCCCTGAGCCAAGCCGGTCTCGTACCTGCCCACAAGCACCCCAGATACCGTACATTCCTGCCTCTGAGACTGTGTTCTCCCATCTCCTCTGACCTTGAGGGATGCTGATTCCTCTCTATGAGTCAGTTCCAGGCCCAGCTCAAGGCCCACCTTCTCCCTGAAGCCTCCCCAGACTGCTCCAGTCCTTAGTGACTGCCCATGCCAACCACTGGCACTCGGGCTATGCTGCCTTGCTGCGTGTAGTGTGTGCACACGCATGTGTGAGAGAGAGAATCTTGCCTCTTCAGAGATACTGTGAGCTCTCCAAGGGCAAGAAATCAGGTCTTGTATCTTTCTGTGATCCCGCTGTCTGGTCCATTGTAGTCATTCACTAAATGTTGACTAGATATCTAAGGGTCAACATTTGTTCCTATTTTAGTCAATCAACAAGAGCAACTCCACATTAAGTGTCTGAGCATTCTAGGGAAAATGTCCAGACAATCTGGCTGGAGCAGAAGGTTCACCTAAGGGAGTCACAAAAGGCCAGATTGGAAAGGTCGGTTGGCTTGCAATCGCAGGTGGAGGAGACTGAGCTTTGTCCAGGAGGCAGCAGGGAAACACTGAAAGCTGTGAGCTGGTCATAGTTTTAAGATTCTGGTTAACTGGAGGGGGAAGGAGCTTGAGCCAGGGAGACCCAGCTGGAGACTAGTAGGTCAGATGCAGGCAACAGAAGCTGATGCTGGGATGTGCTGGGGGGATGGAAAGATAGGAGCGGATTCAAGAGGAAGAATGCTCCACAGCAAGATCAAGCAGGATGCACAGCTAACTGGATATGAGGGAGCGTGGGAGAGCCAGACAGATTCCAGAAGCTGATGCTGGGATGTGCTGGGGGGATGGAAAGATAGGAGCGGATTCAAGAGGAAGAGTGCTCCACAGCAAGATCAAGCAGGATGCACAGCTAACTGGATATGAGGGAGCGTGGGAGAGCCAGACAGATTTTGAAAGCTGAGCTCAGCTCAGTCTCTGGGAGCTGACAGTGCAATGCACAAAAAGAGGGAGTCGGGAAAGGGAAGCAACCTTGAGGGATGGTTTGTCAGTTGACACACAGCAGGCCTAGGGCATCTCAGAGACACTCCCAGGTGGTGCTGGAAACGTGGAATGGGAGACACAGACTCAAGAGGCATCTGCACGGAGAAGGAGCTAAAGGAAACCTGGGCAGTGCCACTCGTGAGAGGGGGACATGAAGGAGACAGAGGAGTGGACAGAGAGGCACAGGAAAGAGAAGATGGGCTGTCCCAGGAACGGTTTCCATGCCACTGGCCCCTGGATGGGGGACACTCAGGAAGTACCAGGAGTCTGCTGGGGCACAGAATAGCATGAACTCCCATGGGCCGGAATGTCAGAGGAGTGGACAGAGAGGCACAGGAAAGAGAAGATGGGCTGTCCCAGGAACGGTTTCCATACCACTGGCCCCTGGATGGGGGACACTCAGGAAGTACCAGGAGGCTGCTGGGGCACAGAATAGCATGAACTCCCACGGGCCGGAATGCTGTGCCCACGGGCTGCCATATGAACCCCCATGGTCTGCTACACCCAAGAGACTGGGATTTTTCTTTTCATGGGAAGAAGAACTATGGATACAGAAAATATAGCTAACATTTATTATGTATCTACAATGCACCAGTCATGCTAAGGGCCTTACATGGCTCACACCATCTATTCCTCTCCCTTCACATTTCAGAGGTGGGAAAATGTAGGCACAGCAAGGTCAAGGTTATGCAGCCACAAGTGGCAGAACAAGGATGTAAACTCAGCTGCTGGCTCCAGAGCCTTGGCTGCTGTTAACTACTGTGCCATGTCACTGTCTACTTGGCAAGGAGAAACGGAAATCATTGTTTGGCCAAGGCCTGCTGTTTCTCAGCAGGACTGCAGCCTCCCTGGGGCTCCTGAGTGGAGAGCTCTGGATTCCTGCATTCAGCACTACAGGGTACCCTCCTACCCTTCAGACCCCGGAGGGAGGGAGGCAGGCAGCTGCAGAGAGGTGCCCGTGATTTGAGGAGCACTAAGAAGGCAGAAGGCATAGTGCAGGGAGCACGGGCTCTGGAGTGAGAAAGGGCTGGTGTGAATCCTGACAGCCTCTTCACCACTCTGAGCCTGAGTTTTCTGTAAAATGGGAGTCATGATACTTATTTCACATGCATGCTATGAGGAGTGAGAGCTTAGGTCTATTCAGCGCTGGCGCAGTGGCCAGTGGACTGCTGCAGGAGCTGAACGAATGCTGCAGTATGGCTCGCTCCCACTCCTCACCACCCGGTCCACTCCAGCCCACCCAGGCGGCTCCGTCTCAGTGCTCGTCTCCCCCAAGAGCTGGTGTGTCACATTCTGCAAGAATAGAGGTTAGAATACACACCACCTTCAGGGAAGCACCATGGGGATTAAGGAGAAAAGCAATAGTTCCAGTCCTGACTCGGCCACTCACTAGGTGAGTTGCCTTGGACATGTCCCTTAACCCTCGGCCCGATTTCCTCTTTTTTAATATGAATGCATTGAACCAGGGATGTGCTTCCTCAGGTAGAGTTGGAGTTCTTTTGATTATTTTTAATTATACATGCAGTACATGTATGGAGTTATGTACTCTTGTAAAAGAACTTCAAACCATACAGGTACAGCAAGAGTCTCCTCTGACACCCAGTCCTCCAATCCTAGTCTTGTCCCAACAGGTAACCACTGGGATGGGTGTGCAGTGGCCCTTTCCAGATCTTTGTCTTTGTGTTTGCATATACACCTATAGAAATACAGAGTTTGTATGTGTATAAGTTGTTTTAACTTGGGTGGTTTTGTATCTACAAACTGTTTTGTTCATGTCATTGTATTTCTTGGGAGCTTTCTAAATTTTCTTGGAGTTCTAAAGTGTGATAGTTCTATGGGAGACTTGGCTCTAGGAGTAAAAAGAGGGACTCCAAAAAAGAGAAAAGCTGGAAAGCAAAAGTGGAGGGCATATGCAGAGAGAAGGAGGAGCAGCAGAATTAGGGTTTATGATCGAGTCTTTGTTCCTGATCTCTAGCTTCATGGCACCCAAAAAAGCCATTCCGCTCTCAGCCAGGGAGCCATGTGGCTACAGAATCCAGGTGACAGATACACACACTCACTGAGTCAGAGTGACCCTCACACAGACATTCACAGGCACAGCCATAGGTGCTCAGTTACAACAACACATAAGACATCCATGGCCCAGCTCTTCTCTACTGTCCAGGGGAGAAACAGACATGAAAAAAATTGCGTACAGAGCTAGTTACCTGCTGGAAGCGAAAGGACTCAGATCGTTTCTTCTGGTTGAGCTGCCACTCTTTGAAGTGGAGCACAGCCTCATCCACGTTGACAATGCCCAGCTTCACCTGCTCCTGGAGGGTAATAAGCTGCCGCTGACCTGGTGTTTTCATCCCAGCAAAAGGATCATATATACTTGACTGGGGCTGGTCCCTCCACGGTCTGACGAGCGGCTCTGGAAAGGATGGCAAAACTCAGCTTGACAGTTCCCCCACTGGGGAGAGCCAACGGGAGGAGTGGGGTTAACGAGGCTGGCCATAGGCTCAAGAGGACACATCTCAAAACAACAATTACACGTGGGACCAAGAATGGGGGCATAGGACATGGAATCAGGTGAGAGGGAAGCAGCTAATAATTTCAAAGTCTATCATACTAAAGCAGACAAGGCCACAACATTTTAGGTGGTGTGAAATCTGCTGAATGATTCAACAGAATCCCCCACATCTTAATTATTGAGAAGCCTTTAGACCAGGGTTTCTCAACCTTTGCACTAGTGACATTCTGGACCAGATAATTCTTTGTTGTGGGGGACTGTCCTGTGCATCGCAGGATATTCAGTAGCATCCCTGGCCTCTATCCATTAGATGCCAGTAGCAGTCCCTTTCCCAGTTGTGCCAACCAAAAATGTCCCAATATATTGCCAAATGTCTCCTGGGGTGGGTGGGGGGCAAAATCTCCCCCAGGTGAAAACCACTGGTTTAGACTTAAATCCACTCCCAGAGGAGAATATACAGGAAGAGTCTAACCAGGATGCTTCTCCCAGACCTCACTCTCTCCAAGCAGCACGGAATGCATAGTCTGTGGACTGATGGGCATGGAGACTGAAACGCCAATGGAATCATGACGCAGGTCCAATAGCACCAGGAATAAATTGGGTGCTGGGTTCCAGGTGGCTGTCCTTGGGTTGTTCCTGCGCCAACCTCTCTTCCGCATTGCAAATTTATAGTTTTCTGCTTTGGAGATTCTAGAGAAATATGAAGCCAACCCCCTTTCCCTCTCCAGGCTGTGACTCCACTAAGTTCTGTGGGAAACAAGCTACTTGCAGAGATGATGGGGCCATTGGGGCATATGAGGACAATTTGACATTTTACTGTTCAGTTCACATAGGGCTACTTGATTCTAAATTTCTCCATCAGGACCCTATTTGGGCACTGTGATTTAGGGACACAGCAAATAGGAAAACGAGAGACGGTTATCCCAGTGGGTAGTGAGAAAGCCTTAAAGAAGTTCATCCATCCTTCTGCCCATCCATTCACTCACCTGTCGACACACTCACAAACCCTTCTCCCAGGTTTGCCATTTTCAAGGCTGTCTTTACTGCTATTTGGAGATGGGGTGGGGGAGGAAACAAAATGTACAAGCCAACTACTTCCCATCTCCTAATACCAAAGTCCTTGGGGGATGCTTTCAAATGCTTAGATGGTGTCATGGCTACTTTTCAAAAGAATTCTCAATGAGCTAATACTAAATGCCTCTGTTTAGCACAAGGAAATTAATCAAGGGGAAAAAAAAGAGCACTCAGCTCCTTAAATTTCCTTAAAAAGTCTTTAGAAAAATGGGCATCTAAGTTGTTATCCAATTGCAAACAAAATGATTTTAAATAAAAGCTGAATTAAAGTACAGTTGAGCTAGTAGAGATAAGGTAAACAAACAGCCAGGAAGGGCTGTATCATTAGGTAAAGACTGGGTGCCGGGCCGCCCATCTCATCTTGTTGGCATGGCATCAGTCTCGATGTTTACATTGTACTTTTATGTGCCAAATGGACACTTTCTAGTATATTAATGTCTTTTTTATGATCAATCTAAACAATATTCTAGGGTATCCCAATCTCTTCTCCCTCCCTTTACCATCCGTACAGGATTCTCAGACAGCTCCACCCTAACGTATCTCTTGCATCTCTATTTTTCATGCCAAGGAGCTGTTGTTACACTTAAAAGTCACCGGAATATGAACACTTCTACCACCCGGAAGTTCAGCTCATACAAAAGGAAGCTGAGGACAACATCTGGCTTACCTTTCTTGATGCTCTCTGAGGAAACGTAGAAATTCCCGGGCCGTTCTTGACTTTTTTCTGCAAAAACTATGAGATAAAGAATATTCTGAGTAAAAGACAAGGCAGACCTCTTTCTTAAGGACTCCATAATATTTATACATTTACCAAAAAAATTATCAAAATCCTATGCAAAAAAAAAAAGGATAATAATGAATGCATAGCTAGGACCACTGTATGCAGTTCTGTAAATGAAAACTCTAGAAGGAGGCAACTGATGAGAAGGAGTAGTGACTGTCGAATAAAGATAGACCAAACAGACAAGATCTCAAACCTAGAGAGACAAAGCCAGCCAGAGTACATGATCAGCATTTACAAGACCATTACAGAACAGGGGAGAGGGAGCAAGGACTTGTGCCTGTATCCCTGAGCACCTGAAGCTCGCTGTGGAAGACCTTCAAGCTTGAGAGTAAAAGGAAGTACCACTTCCCATGCCAATCAGTGCCATGAGACAGAACTCGAAGTGGTCACACAGGTAAAATGTGTGCACAGCTCCAAAGGGGTTTAGATGAAGTTACTCATGAGCAACAGACTCATAAAAGCTAATAGTGAAAACTGGGGTGTGACAAATGTTCACTTAGTGGCAGGATGGCATGGGGATTATGGCTCCCGAGGCTCTGAATGAGATTCCCTGGATTCAAATCCTGGCTCTGACACTTATGAGCCATATGAGCAGAGACAAGAGGCTTGACCTCTCTCTGCCTCCACTTCTTATCTGCAGAGTAAGGATGATAATAGTACCTTCATTGGGTTGTCATGAGGATTAAATGAGTTCATACATGGAAAGTGCTTAGAACAGTGCTTGGCACATATAAGCACTCAACATCAGCTTTTATTATCATTATTCACATCTGAACTTTGGTGCCAATAGGACAGCAACACCTTGGCATGCTAGCTAACCCAAGTGATGTCTGTATAGTGCCTTGTAGTTTATAAAGTACTTCTTCATCTGACCCTCACAATAAGGCTGTGGCAGAGGATTATTGTGACATATGTATCAATGTATACATGTATTATGATACCCATTTTATAGATGAGGAAACTAAAGCTAAAAAGGGTGAAATGACTTACTCAATGTCCTATGCTGTACAGCTGGAAAATGCAGGAGCTAAGAGATGAACCCAGGTATTCTGGCCTCCAAGCCACTGGCCCCTTGGTCAACTCCTGCATCTCTCCTTTCTTTTGTTTCCCCACGGTTTCTCAGCAAGTCCATCAGGGTTCTTTAGGAATCACCTGTGCTCCTGTCTAACTGCCTCCTTACAATGAGCCATGCCATCAATACTGACCCCTATCCCCCCTTCCATTTAGGAATCACCAAAGTATATTTGCATGCTTCTTAGGTTTGGGCTCTCTCAGAAGCAGACCCTCAGGCAAGCATTCACACACAAGTAGTCTATTTGGAAGGGGATAGAGTGAGACAGGGACATGGATGAAGTATAAATGGTGGGTTATCAAGCAACTTTCCACTGTGGGCAAGTTGGGGGGTCCTGAAAAACAGTGTAGAACATGCAACTCGGAGTTCTTCCACCAGAGGGGCTTAAGCTGGGATGAGTACAGCAGTCATTTGTGTTAATTTCCAAGCACTTCCAGCCTGTCCTGAAAAAGGCCAGAGAAAACCCTCAGGCTAAGAGGCTCTAGTGCAGACAGGTGGCATCCAACCAATGGGCACAGTAATGTAAAGAGCTGGTGGGGTATGGGGGGGCACCCCAACAGTATCTGCAACACATGCCAAAGGACATGTGTTCTTTCAACACAAGCACTGGTAGCACGAGGCAATGCATAATATCCCACAGCTGTATTTCTACCCAGTTTACAATTGTCAAATTTAGCAATTTGGGTTCTGTTTGAACACTACCTTCCCCAATTTACGATCTGCTTTTGCCACACTTTCGACAACTTGCTTGTATTATTAATAATGGAGTATAGTTCAGGAGCACAGATCTGGCAATTCTTACACATTTACAGTACTTGTAACCATATTAACCCAATCAAGTCCTGAAAAAAGTGAAACTGACAATGCCAGCAATATCTAATTAACGTCCCAGGGACAATTACGAAAAAGTCAAAACCCAATTTTTATTAATGTAGGCAGGTAGACAGCCTAGCATAGTGGCCAAAAGCCAGGGCTGTGGAGTCAGACTCTGACTTCAAATCCTGGCTCTGCTACATGGTGGTCAAGAGACCTCTCTGTAAGTCTCCATTTCCTCATCTGTAAAATGGAGATAACAGTGGTCCTAACAGGTTATTGTAAAGATTAAATGACATGTTCCAGATAGAGCATTCTTGGTAGATTTCAGCAAATGTTAGCTATTAAATTAATAATAAAAATAACAAGAAGGGTTTCTGGAGATAAAAATTTACCAGGGTTCTCATTTACCTCTGTTTTCGCAACTCTGCCTGAATGCCTACAGGAAGGCCAGCACTGAATCTGATCATTACTCCAGTCTAGCTCCAGAATCTGCCCCAGGCTATGACAGTGTCTCCTGGGGCTGACTGGAGACTATTCAGGAAGGGACAGTCTCTGAGCAATGATTCAGAAAGCCAGGGGATCCAGGAAATTCCTGCTAAGAAGCTCCAAAGACCCTACTGGGCATCATTCCCTGCTACACTTGCCTTTAGAAATGTATGGTTCATTGTCGGGCAGCTGGTGAGCACTAGGAGCACTGGCATCTGGCCTGGGCACTGGGACGGGGGGTCTGCTGGCCAGGTCCATGGAAAAAGCCTCATCGTCATCCACCATGTGATAAACATCTTCTTCCCGACCAAGATGGCGTGCGTCTCTCTCCAAACTGGACATTCGCATGCTGTTGCCTAGAAACAGAGAGAAAGGTGACTGAGAGCAGTGGCCAGACACATTGGGTGATTGCCAGTCATAAGGGCAGAGCGCGTGGCCACACCTTACGTGTTCAGTACTGCCCTCTGGTGAAGGCCTTTCCCCTACATCATCTCCTGTAACATCTGCTTAGAATGTCATGCAAAGTGAGAGCAGTGGCCAGACACATTGGGTGATTGCCAGTCATAAGGGCAGAGCGCGTGGCCACAACTTACGTGTTCAGTACTGCCCTCTGGTGAAGGCCTTCCCCCTACATCATCTCCTGTAACATCTGCTTAGAATGTCATGCAAACTAACTGGGAAAACACTGATGTCACCTTCATGTGCCACCCATCAGTGCAGCAAAGGGAAAGGAGTGCTAGGCTGTATTATCTCAGTTTTACTGCTAAGATTTAGTTATTCATCCCATTAGAACTATGAGAAGCCCTAGGTAAGACTGACTGTCAAAGCCCCAGGTAAGAAAGGTGGGGTGTTTGCTGCCGACTGTCCAATAAAAGTGGAATTTCTTACCTAGGGCTTCCCAGGACTCCTCTCAGGGAAACACTTAGTTTTAGACTGGGGTTCGACAAACATTTTTTAAAGGTCCAGAGAGTAAATATTTCAAGCTCTCCAGGACATACTCAACTCTACCCTTGTAGCATGAAAGCAGCCATAGACAGTATTATATGAATGGGCATGTTTCAATAAAACTCTATTTACAAAACCAGCATCTGGCCAGGCTGAGGTTTGTCTACCACTGCTTTAGAATTTTTCCTTCCTTTTCACTGTCAAAAATACTTGTCCCATCCCGTTAGCACACTGCTTTCTATATCTACTTTAGCAACAGACCCCACTATAAATTGTAAATAATTGGTCACGGTTGAGGAATTACCCATACAGTTTAACACCCTCCACCTTTGAAACCTTCAGCAATAACAACAATAATAAATCTTTGTTAGCTGTTTGTTATGTGTCTGGCCCTGCTCTGAAGCAATAGCTCATTTAATTCTCACAGTATTCATCTCATTTACAACTGAGGAAACTGAGGTCCAGAGGAGTTGAATAATTTGCCTAAGGTTTTCCAGCTAACTGACGGGGAAATTGAGCACAGATCAGAGTCTGTGTTCTCAGCCACTGTGCAACACAGCCTCCACCCAGTAATACCTGTTTATATTCCCCTCTTTCACGGGAAAGTAAAGTCTCCCGAGGACACTGATCATGTCTTATTTTTCTTTGTGTCTCCAGCCCCAACATCCAGAAAAGTACCTTGCACGTAACAGATACTCAATAAATTTTGGCCAAATAAAAACAGACATGTACATTTTAAAAGAGGTCTTGCTGGAGGCAGGTCATTTACCCAAATGAATGACTCCAGTGGTGGGAACTCTGGTCTCCTGTGACAGGCTGAGGGAGCTCAGGGCAGGTGGGGGATAGGGGAGCAGAGTGACTCCAGTCATATCAAATGCCACGGCATGTGGCAGCCCATTCCTTAGCAGGGCAAGCCTCATACAGAACCAGGAAACACCGTGCGTTTTTTTCTCTTTCCCTCTTTTTACTTTCCTGTTCACAGCTACAACTCACCTTCTAAAAACTTGCGAATCATAGAGTCCTTAGTGGTCCGAGAGAAACTATCTCTGGGGATTGGGTTAGATGCACTGGCCTGAAGCATCTCAACATCTAGAAAAAAAAAAAGGAGACTAGGAGGTGGTATGTTGTTCTTCCACCCAGGCAAGGAGATTTTACAGATGGATTTACAAGGTTTGACAACTTTCTTAAGAGATTGAAGCATTCCTTCATCCCTACATCCATCCACCTACTCGATAAGGACATCCAGTAAATGTGGGGCATAAAGGAAATCAACATTCACAACCTCAGGCTCTTTCTTGGATCATAGGCCCCAAAATGTATAGATGTGCTCATTTGCATTAGAAAGAATAGGCTCGATTTTGAAATACACCATAGCATTGTGAATTACAAAAAAAAAAAAAAAAAAAAAAATGGAAGCAGTAATATCAAAATGATTTCGGAAGCAGAGAATAGATAAACAGTGGTTTATTCAAACAATGAAACATTATACAATAGTTAAAAAGACATTGAAGCCACTTCTATTAACACAGTCACATCTCAAAAACATAACACTGAGTGAAAAAGTTACAGACAGGTGTTTACAATATAATATTGTTTATATAAAGTTTTAAAACTTACAAAACAATACTATAAATTGCCTATAATTCTTAAGTAGGTAGGAAGCATATAAATATGCTGAGAATGAAAAATGTTGAATTCTTGGTAGTGGCTCTCTCTGGGAGGTTAATAGGGGACTGCAACTGGGACCATAATATTTAATATTAAAAAGGATCTGAGGCAAAAAAGAAATACATATTCTTGAAGATTTTGATGAATCTAAAGAATCAGAATCTTCAAAAAAATACTTTTTAGATAATTAATATGCTACCTGAAGGGGCAAAATTAGATTCTATTTTTGTGTTTGCCTGTATATGTAAAAAAAAAAAAAAACTCTGGAAGGAGACAGAAGAAATTAAGATCAGTGGCTTCCTGGGAACTGAGAAGATGGGGACAAGAAATGGAGAAAAATATTCCACTGTTCACCTTTTTATATTTTAATTTTTTAGCCTATTCAAAAAATAAAGAAATGCAGTGCTCTGACCACATTTGTGTTACTTATTATTCAAAAAACACACAAAACAAAAAACAACCTCCTTATTTCTACCTTTTCAGTTTATGTTTTCTGACATAGTAGAGACATTACACTGAATATAATGTACTTTGGTACCCTCTAGCTCAAAGCCCTGTGATTCCAAGTGAGGAGCCAGTTAAGTAAGATGCACTAACGCTCTGGTCACTTCTCAACTCTGTAACATAGACTGTAGAGAGACTAGGGTGACTGTCCTGATTTTAAAGCATACCTAGAGGTACGTTAACTTTTCTTTTTAATTTCTGATAAGAACTCTTGCTTAATTCATTCTTTAAAAATTCAAGGCCAGAAACATTCCACTAATTTGAGATTTTCAGCTTAATTTTCTTTTTTTTTCCTCCAAATTTTATTTTATTTTGTTAATATACAATGTGATTGATTATTGTGGCCCATTACTGAAACCTCGCTCCCTCTCCCCCCCTCCCTCCCAACAATGTCCTTTCTGTTTCCTTGTCATATCAACTTCAAGGAATTGTAATTGTTGTGTTTTCTTCCCTCCCCCCACCCCCGGTTTTTTTTTAAATTTATTTTTAGCTCCCACAAATAAGTGAGAACATGTGATATTTCTCTTTCTGTACCTGACTAGTTTCACTTAATATATTTCTCTCTAGGTCCATCCATGTCATTGCAAATGGCAGTATTTCATTTTTTTTAATAGCTGAGTAGTATTCCATTGTGTAGATATACCACATTTTCTGTATCCACTCGTCTGATGATAGACATTTGGGCTGGTTCCAACTCTTAGCTACTGTAAAAAGTGCTGCAATGAACATTGGGGAACAGGTATACCTTCAACTTGATGATTTCCATTCCTCTGGGTATATTCCCAGCCATGGGATAGCTGGGTCATATGGTAGATCTATCTGCAATTGTTTGAAGAGCCTCCATACCATTTTCCATAGAGGCTGCACCATTTTGCAGTCCCACCAACAATGTATGAAAGTTCCTTTTCCTCTGCAACCTCACCAGCATTTATCATTCACAGTCTTTTGGATATTAACTATCCTAACTGGGGTGAGATGGTATCTCAGTGTGGTTTTGATTTGCATTTCCTGAATGCTGAGTGATGCTGAACATTTTTTCATATGTCTGTTGGCCATACATATATTTTCCTTTGAGAAATGCCTATTTAGCTCTTTTGCCCATTTTTTAATTGGTTTGCTGGTTTTTTTCTTGTAAAGCATTTGAGTTCCTTGTATATTCTGGATATTAATCCTTTGTCAGATGTATATTTTGCAAATA